AACCCCTTATCAGAAACAAAGCAAAAAAGAAAAAGTTGTTGACAGATTTGAAATGTAATACTACGTTCGCACCGACACAAAATTCGTGTTTTCATAGACAAAAGAGGTTTTCACGCGAAAACTTGTGTTTTCATCCATACAAAATCTGTCAAACGAAAACACAGTTTTCGCTGAAAACCCCTTGAAAACTTACATTCCACTCATTATAATCGGTGCCTGCTCTAGTTTAATCGATATTATTGAAGACATATTTTGCCAGCCCTAAATGTCAGTTGACAATTTGTTTACATTCCATAATTGGCCTAAACGTACCCTACAAGAAACTGCTGATGGGTTCACCAATACACTCACATTTGATATGTCAGTACTGTTAATTTACATTTGCATTTTTAAATTCAGAACTATCCACTGATTGGAGAAAGACGTACGCAGAGCTATTGAGAGGAGGAGATGGCATCAAGTGAAAATTTATTTTTATATTTTCATATTATTATATTATTTTTATTATATTTTTTGTTGCATTCCTTTTTATATTTAAGTATATTATTATAACTAATTTTGATTAAAAGTTTGAAATTTATTAAAGAAATAAAAATTATATTATCTACTGCGCAAAGAATTTTTTACTGATTGCGTTTCAGCCATAACTGACAATTTTCAGCTATGACGGACTTATGGTCAGCAATGACTCAGAAAAAACAAAACAAACAAACAAAAAGAAAACGAGGATCTTAAGAAAATGATAAAAACTTTGTTCTGCGCGCTGACAAAATTTTTTCAGCTATTACTGTTATATTACACATCAGATGACCGTCACTGTTCTTGTAGGGTACATAACATATGTAAACAAATAGATGTGTGATTTGTCAATGAAAACTCATCGAAAACACACAATGTCGGTCAGAACGGCTTTGGTTCCACAATCCACAAATTGTGTTTTCAAGAGGATTTAAATTCGGTGCGAACATAGTATAAGTTAAGAAATTAAATTATTTGATTGTTACGAATTATCGTATTTCCATTTCTACAAGGGAAAACATTATCATTATTGAGTTTAATTAATTATGGAATGGAAAAAATGCAGATATTTTAAGAGGATTTACAAAGGGTAATTTCACACCATAACAAATGCATCTTTATTCGAGAAATAAAGTAATGAAATAGAAGATAAAATTGCGGAATTCATTGTAAACTTTAATAGAATTGCTTCCCAATTTATTCATTTGCAAGGTTTGTCACATTAGCACACAGCTGATTTGAATATTGGTTTTGCGTTTGTTCGAAAAGTCGAAAATCCAATCAGATTCTGTGACACCACTGAAAATCAGAATTGGTTTGGAATTCCGACATCTAAGCAAAGCTGTCTTGGATTCCACAACACCCCTGAATATATAAATTAAATGATTGCCTTGTATTATTTAAATTATGTCAGGCTGAGCCGTAGCAATAAAACAATTGAAAAAAACTGAACTTATTGATAACTTAATTCTAGTTACCCATGCTAAAATAGAGTCTCTTAATAATAATATATCATAGCGGCCACGCAAATATGCTGTGTTTTCCGGCTATGCAATGACATCCGTTCATTTGTTTATTGCGGGTGTCATATTTCTGGTCAGCAATTTCGAGACTTTTTACTTTAACTAATTATTCAATAACATTCAATACAATGTTTATTGAATGATTGCTGCTGGTGTCATATTTCATGTGAACAATCTCGAGAACGTTGTCTTTAGTTAACTTTTATGTTATACATAACTGATCACGTTAAAGAAATTAGTTGAAATCCGGGTGAAAGCTTTTAACTTGAGTACAAATTTTGATATCTTGATAAAACTTGGCACCCATATTTCTTAGCACGATAAGAATATTGATATTTTATTTGGGTGTAATCGGGCCATTGCCACGCCCACAAAACGCCATTAATCGGAAACCAATAAATGCCATAACTAAGCTCCACAATATGATACAAAGTTGTTGATTTGTATAGCGATTCGCCTTAGGGAGGCACATGTGCTGCTTGAAAACTTTTGAAAAAGTAGTCGTGGCCCTGCTCTCTAATTGGTGTAATGTACAAATCTCCTAAAGCCATAATAACCAAATTCACTCAGGGAAAATATTTTTAGTACCGCTACCGACAGTGTAGTGGGTGAATTCGGATTATAACTCCGCCCACTCCCCACATATGGTTTCGTTAAAAACTGCTTAAAGTGCAATAATTCTATAAATAAGTGCCCCAGACACATAAAATTGTATATCCGAGATGATACAAGAAGGCTTAAGAGGAGCCGATGTCGAAATTGCACTGCTCACATTTAGGTGAAAACCACTAGCTCGGGACCTGCTCTACCGATTTCCACTTAAATCGGTCGGTAACATTTATCGTATATTCGTATGTTATATAAGTCTTTCACTTTCCAATATACAAATCTCGTTTGCGAATTCAAGTGAAGTGGTAGTGTTTTTGGTGTGGGCCTGGGGTTTTTCTTAAATCTCCTAGTTTTTCCACACCAACTAAAGTGATTTCTGGCCTATGACTTTCGGAAACCGAAACAATTCAAATAGCACTAAATCTAAAGAAAGGATCCAATTTGCATTTTTAAATTAAATTTCCTTTGCACCTACTTGTATATTTGTTTCTCCTTTTCATATTCTCTTTGGATTTGGCATTACAAACTACCGAAAATATTAGCAAGGTTTTAGATCCAGCGACTGAACATACTTACTGTCAGGTGTTTCCAACTATTTTTTTTATTGATGTATGGCCTCTGAGAACAGTAGTGGGTGCACACCAGAGACCTGCAATTATTATTTTTTAAGTCATTTGTTGAGTAACATGAGAGAGAGTATTAGTGGATATAAGTTGAAAAACATAATCCACTAAAACACATTTGCGCATAGCAGACATAGCGAGAGTATGAGTAATGAGAAAGTTTCCCTTGATATGCACCGGTGTAGTGCTCAATTCTCTCATGAGTCAATAATTGTATCCCGAGAACGACACGGCATTCATAAAAATCAATTTGTTAGTTTACACTCGAGAGTCATAAATTGCCGGTACATATAATGCTAAAGACAGACATATGGTTTCTGTACGATATACAATGTGTACTACAGTAAAAGCTCAGGAAACCATGTACCAGCATAATGACACATATGGTATTCTATGAGTTTAACACAAAAAATTAAAAGCAACTAAAAGAAAATAAATATAAAGCAGGAAAATGAAGCCAAGTTGCTTATAACAACAGAGAATCTTAAAATATTTTATTACCTGGGGAGGGAAAGGAAATATTTTATTCAATATCTACGGGCATTAAAAAGCATCAAGCAAACTAAAAGATCGCTCTCTAAGCTCATAAGCACCAGGAAAGTTGAAGAAAGAATATCGCTCACAATAGGGTAGTGTGAGATAATTTCGCAGCCACAGCTGAAGCAGAGATAAGGAGATGCCCAACTCGTCTCTCACTGGAAATGAGAGCGCAATTGATAAACGTCAAAACCTACTGAACTCAAGCAACTGTCAAAGTTCAGTAGGTCTGACGTTTAGCAATTGGAAAAAGAGGGACGGCCAGATTAAAATCCTACAGAAAAATATGTAAACGGAGAGATTTGTGCTGCTGTTGAAGATCACTAACAAAAATTAGAAAACAATGAAAATGAAAGAAAACGCGAAATTGAAATGTATGTGATGATATCTTTTGTGATGTCATGCTAAGTGGTATTGATTTTCAATTGAAAATTTTTAAAAACATTTATTAATTGAGAGCTAATACATTTATTCTTTTGATTACGTATTGAAAGTTCAAAGATCAATTGTTTAATAAATCACAAAATCACAAAAAAAAGAGTATAAAAAGTTTCTGCATATGTTTAACGGATACATGTATAATAATATTTAATCTTAATAAATGATGGGTATTTTAATTTAAATTCCCAAAGATTATTATTTTGTACCATCTGGCTACAATGGAAAATGTTATAAAAAACTCTAATTTTGAGGCGCTCTCACACTGGAAAGAGTTGGGCATCCCATTATCCCTGGCTGAAGTATCTGTTAGTAATATTAGACTCAAAGCAAAAATTTGAAAACACCCGAATACACTGCAGTTTAAGCGAGTAAAAGCTTAAAAACATTAGTAAGATTGATGGCAAATAAAGGCTGTGCCAGCCGGCGATTTTACTCGCAAAAGGAATGAGATGCAGCTCCAATATTGATCCAGGCGCTTAACATTAAAGTATATAGTAGACAAATACACGCAGTCCATATGCTGTTGGCAATAAGAGTTTTCAGTGCTTTCCGAACAATATCCAGCGAGGCTGCTGAAGTAAAAGCCAGTATGCCGCCCATTGAAATCCAGGGTGCCGAATTCGCGCGAGTATACAAGTTTTCACAGCCATGAAGCTAAATAAGAAGAGGGAACTAAAAGCATGACAATGTGGCAGCAACGGTGGCAAACCTCACCCGAAGAACGGTGGACCCACAGACTGACACCAAACATCCATTCGCGGATAGACAGGCGAAATGGGGACCTGGATTTTCAATTGACCCAAATATTAAGTGGACATGGGTGCTTTAGAAGCTACCTGTATAGATTCCATCATGATACAAGTCCGAATTGTTCGACGTGTACAGAGCGCATATAAGGCTCTGAACATGTATTATTTTATTGCCCCCGCTATTTAATTACAAGGAAAAAACTAAAAATTACACTCTGTGATAGTTTAACGGTGAAAAATTTGACGACACTCACGTGTCAGTCCACTGAGAACTGGAAAGCTGTCAGCGAAGCTGCAGCCTCAATCATGGCAAAACTGAGACATACGCAGATAAGGCGTCTGTCCGTACCATAGAGGAGACTTAAAATGTCTTGTCACTCCCACAAAGTAATACTTAATTAAGAGAGATATGAGATGGTAGTAGGTTAGATTTAGCGAATTAAAGCGCACTCCGGCTTTCGATGCTTCCCCCTAATATAAAAAAAAAGCCTTATGCCAAATAAGTCGTTCAGTGTGTCAGTTATTTATTTATAAAAATGCTTGAAAATATGTATGCGAGTATACCTGAGCATTATAAAAGGTATATGCAATAAGCCCGTTCCAAAAATCTCAATGTGAAGAGGGGGGATTAATGACATTTAAAATCGATATAAACAAGTTTTTTTTTAATTATAAAAGTATATTAATGGTTTAGCAATATATATAAATGGAGTTGATCTCAACATAACGAATACCGATCCTCTAGTTGACGTTTTCCTATCATATCACATTCCTCGTTATATAAAATTTACTTTCTTCGGTTGAGTATATATCAATTACACCAACTAGATTTTAATATCAATCAATACATAATAAGAATATATTTATATAATACATACATCTTTTTTAAGTTAATCACATGTTTTATTCGCGTAAATATTGCATAAATACATACAAATATGCAATTGTTTATTTTTAAACAAATCTGTACCTAGTTCCAAATTACATGTTAACCAATTTTTCATATAATATACAAATTTAGTACGACTGCGAGACCACATTCCTTAATATGTTTGTTAAGAAAAGTATGCAAAAGTTGTTGTTCATCTAGGTTTCCATTTTTACGAAACAAATTTAAATAGTTCCACCGTTATTAATATATTCCATTTCAATCTGGTCAATAGGTTTACGCGCATAACGTTTTGGCAATTCCCAGTCTTCGATAGCTGCACTAATGCGTGTAACACCCTCCTATGAAAAAATTAAATTAAAGTTTAATAAAACACATAAAAAAGAGTGAAATTAAGGAAAATATTTAGGAAAACTTTATAGTAAAAAGCTACGAAAGAGCTAAGTTCAGGTGCGGCCGAAAATTATATTCGATGTAATAGTGTATAGATTGCAATCATAATTGGAATTTCGGATTAGCCAATGCCACAATTCATAGACTCACTTACTACACACTTATGTGTATGTCCGAAATATTTATATTAAAATGAACCTATCTTAACAATTATCATTATATTTCTCATATTAGCATTGTTGGAAAATGCATACCGCTATTCCTAATTTTAACTACCGAATAAAGCTAATCGAAATATTCGGCGATATAAAATCAACAAAAGGGGGAAAATATAATATAACTCTATATTTTATGAGAGAAAATTCAACTGATTGCATTTATTTTCGTATTCAACTAAAGCATGCTTCATAATATCCCGAAATAAAATTTTATTAATTCACACATTCGGCCTTTATACTTGACATAAAATCCATAATAATTAGAAAATATAGGAGCTGGGGTAATTTATGGAACGATTTCACAAATTTTCCGCAATAAGCTATAGTATATCTTAAATTATATGTTCGCATAATTTTGGCAAAATATCTTACACATTAAATGTTATATTTTATACGATATAAAAGCAACCGAAAGTTTAAAAATCAAGAAAAAAAATTCCTCTGAATTTCATATAGATATTTCACATATTTAAAGAAAATCTGTCTGCTCTCTCTATTTTCCCAAGCAAGTTAACGAACATTTAGTAGTCCCATATACTATTTATAAGAGATGGGTGTGGTTATTATCCGTTGCATCCATTCTCACACTGTATGATGAAACGCCATTTTTTTTTTCTATTGTATTATTTTTCAATTGGATCGCAATACATTTTTGAAATATGTATATTAGTTTTCTGAATCTGTTAAGATGGAAATAATAATACACGCAATATTAAATATCAGAGAGAAGCCGTGAGAGCAAAGCGTTTATTGTGACATCCCTATGATTTTTTCGCATATTTGTGAAATATGAACTGACAAGCCAAACAAAAATTTATGCAAATCAGCCATAATCATTTTTAATATTTATTCACTTTTTCAAAAAAAAGTATCATATTTTCTATAGTTTTCATTGTTAATTATTTGCTTAATTATGTGTCATAAACTTCATAAACTGATATTAGAAGGTTTGAGGTTTCCTACTATTTCCCTACTATTTCAAATTTGCACTATCAGAATCCGTTCTCTACTTGGACAAAAATGGTTTAATACAAAACAAAGACACATACTTAGAAGAGCTAACAATAAAGTAGTTACTTCGAAAATACTCACTGCTGAAAAACAAACGATTCGACACATACATCTCGTTTAGAGACAAAACTGAAACCACTTTGACGAAGTAGAACTGCTGGTGGCTATTAAATGATAATGAAAACGAATTAACTCCCTGACACAACTGGGCTGATTTCTTGTTCTTCTATTAATCATTTTATATTATAAAAATTTCTATGCATCGTTATATTTTAATTTTTCCTTGCAAACAAATACAAATATATACTGTATATCTACTAAGTTATATTTAAGGATATAAATAATATCATTAGTAAATAAAATGTTAATAATTATTGATATCGAAGTACTCGAGAGTTCGTCTAGAGACACTGTACGTATATATTATCGTTGTACTATTGTTTATTGTAGTGATTAAGTTTATTCATTTTAATCAAATAAACATAACAAAAAAAAAAACTTTGATGAATAAAACTTCATCAACTGATATTAAAGGGTGATCCATTTCGAGGTTTCCTACTTTTTTTAAAGAAAAAACACAGAAAATTAAAATTTAATAGAGAATGTTTATTATCGTTCGAAAGAACATTCTTTGTAATTTATTTTTTGAAGTTTATCTTTTTCAAATGTTGGTAGAGGCTTGGTCTCAGATGGTCCATTCGTTGAGTACAATTTTCGATGACTCGTTTGAGCATTTCGACTGTCCGCATAGACTTTAGACTTTACATATTCCCACAGGAAAAAGTCGAACGGTGTGATATCACACGATCTTGGTGGCCAATCCGACGTGTTCCCTCAATAAATCCACTGATTAATGCGATGTGTGGAAAGTGGCGCCGTCATGTTGAAACTAAATATCGCTGAGATCACGATCTTCAATTTCAGGCAGGAAATAGTCGGTTATCAAGGCGCGATAACGGTCGCCATTGACGGGTACGCTTTCACAGACATTGTTTTTGAAGAAATATGGACCCAAAAATCCATCGGCCCACAAATCACACCAAACCGTTGTTTTTCTTGATGAAATGGCAGCCCTTGAATCTCTTCAGGTTGCTCTTCGTCCCTAATGCGGCAATTTTGCTTATTTACATACCCATTGAACCAGAAGTGGGCCTCATCGCTTAAAAAAATTTGGCTCGAAAATGTCGAATCTTCTTGGAACTTTTCAATAGCCTATAGAGCGAAGCGATGTCGCTTGGGAACGTCGAGCGGCTTCAGTTCTTGCACAACTGTATTTTGTACGCTTTCAATTCAAGATTTCGATGTAAAATGCTCCGAGTCGTTTCATACGTCAGTCCGAGTTGTTACAAACGACGCCGAACTCTACTTCGTCTTCGTGTACACTCTCAGCTACGGCCACTATATTTCTTTCACTGCCTGCTGGACATGGTCTATTCGGTCGAATATTATCCAATAAGGAATAATAATGTAATATTATATAGTTTACATTTCTTTGTAATGAGTGGATATTTATAAATAGTTACTACTGAATTTTGGTACATACAGATATGTATATCTGCATGTTCTAATATATTTATTATAGGTGTGTCAATTTCTTCATTAATTATTATTTCTTTAACATCGTTTAAATTTTAAGTGCCGGAATAAAAGTTTCCATTAATTTGCAAAATTAACTGTATTTGTTATGGTAACAAGTTCTTGATATACCACATTTAATATTATTTTTCATTTATAGATTTAGGATCTAGTCTTAAGTATCTTTTCAAATTGTGAGTTAGTTTTTCTTTGATGGTATTATTTTCAATTAATTGGTTTAATCCTGATTTTATTATTAGATTATCATGATCTGGTGTTCCTGTTATAAACTTTAAAATTGAACCTAAGAAATTTAATGCTCTTTTTACTTTATGTGAAAGAGGTATCAGTTGAGATTTTAAAGTTTCTAACGTATTTATTAATTATGCGTCTTCTTGATTTTCATTTATATTATAAATGTTTCTTATTATTTTTTCGTACGGTGTTAGTATTGTAGTTAGGTGGGCTACATGATAGAGATATGCTGTATTTTCAAATAAGAAAGCTGGTTTCGTTTCTGTTAATACGTATTTCATGTTATTTAAATTTGTTATTTTGTCACATGTACAAATGTTGTTTGTATCCTAATACTATCTTTCTGTATAATTTTTCCTTTATCTGTTAAGATTGTGTCCCCACGATCTTCTTTTACTTTAGGTTTATTAAATTATTGTGCTAAATTATTTCTTCTATCTGCTTTCACATAAACTGTTTCACCTGTTTTATAAGTAATTGTTTGCCTCTTTTTGTTGTGGTATCGAAAAGGTTTATCTTGTTTTTCATTTAAAATATCTCTTATTTCAAGATATTTTTCTCTATTATAAAATACTTCTTCGGGTTTGTATTCTGTAGATGAGTGAATGGTTTGAATATGCTTGTATTGGTTTACAGCGTTGAATATTTCTTCACCCAGCTCGGTTTTATTTTCAGCAGCTAGAGGTTGACACAGTTTTATTAGTGCTTGAGCGTTTACAAACGAATAAAAAAAATAAAAAAATATTATACAACAATATAGAACCGACAACAGCTGGTACGATGTTACCGGGATTGGTTTGGGTTGGTTTAATCCGACCAAAGACTATTATTTCGGCGAGCTAACACAGTTTGGATCGGTAAGTATATCGTCTTTGGAGCAACAAATTGAAGCAGGGTTCCTCCGTATTCTCCTGATCCATGCTAAAATTGAGTTTAACCCGGGCCAGGAGGAATTTTTTTGCTGCGTTTACGAAAAAAGCTCCATCCAAATTCCATATGGGTTAGATTCAATACATGCAATGGATGGAGCCATCTTAAGAACTGTTCAGGTGTTACGATACATAGGGAGTGCACTACATGCTGTCAACGCACAGCTTCGACCTTAGCCTGCACGGCTGTTCAAATTGCACCTATTTCGCGCACTGTGCCGCCACTCTAATCGAATAGCCAACAACAGTCCTCTACGGTACCAAGAAGCTTAATTAGGCATCATGACTCCTTGTCTCATCATTTCCTCAACACACTCTTATCTCATTCCACAACAACCTGTACACGACTCCCTTACTCCCAGGGTAACTACTATTTTACCGCGACACATAAAACGTATACGATTTATCTGCAATAACGGACTCCAGAGCAAGATCGAGGAGATACACGATTTTTTTGAGAAGGGAAGGCGTATCTATAGCTTCAATCCAAGAGACCAAGCTGCTCTACTCTTCTAAGTCCTGCTTGTTTTAAAGAGTAACGTAACAGTCGCGAGCTAGATAATGGTGGCGAGTTTGCTCTCATTCCGCACAACATTGTGCAATATTGTCTAATCAATGGCGACATCGACCCCGGGGATACTACATTAGAATATCAGGGCATAGCTATCCGGTCAGGTGTTGTCGAGATCCAAAGATATAATATATGCATCCGTCCAGTTACATGTTCGCCAACAGGATACTACCCGATTGGTATTAGACGACTACAATGCACGCTACAATCTTTAGCATTTTTACTTGTTAAATGAACGTGAGAGGATGGGGCTGGTGACATCCGACAATTAGACATTTTGCACAATGAATGACGACCACCAGCATTATGAGCACTTGTAATGCCTCGCCTGATATTACCATCGCTAGTGGTGGCCTCATAAATTATATAACCTGTCGATTTATCGCATC